TCGCGAGAGCCTGCGGGTACGTTCGGGCGCCGCCTGGGGGGGCCTGACAGGTGCTGGCAGGAGCAGCCTGGGAAGCCCAAGTGATACTTGCGGTAGCTGCGTGGAGGGCCAGAATCAAAGTACTCTCTCGAGTTGCCTGGGAGGCGCGGGAGGTGTTCGCGGGAGCTGCCTGGAGGGCTGGAATGCGCTCCCAGAAGCTACCTGGGGGTGGCCGAACAGTGCTCGCGGGGGCTGCCTGGGGGTCTCAAAAGACGCGTGATGGAAGCAACCTTCGCCTCCACCAAGATTGCGAGAATCCCTGTCTGTGGGCTTAATAAGAAGGACGCCGACTGTGGGGGAGGAAGCGTGCGTCTCCGCCCATCTGTGAAAATCCAAGCCTGCGGGCCTAATCATAAGGAGCCCTATTGTGGGTGTGAGGGGGGGGGGGCATGCGCCACCGCCCAATCTGTGATGGGCAGTGTCCAGTGGCCGAATGAAAAAGAATCCCGTGGGGAAGAAACATGCGCCCCCTCCCACTCTGTGATAATCCGTGTCTGTGGACCGAATGAACAAGAATCCGATTGTTGGGGGAGGCACATGCACCCCCGCCCAATCTGTGATAATCCGCGCCGCTAGGCCGGGTGGGAAGGCCCCCCCCCCAGCGAGCCTCGGTAGTGAGCCAAGAACCCAGGGGGCAACAAGCAGCCTCGGAAAGGCCGCTGCAGAAGTCGCCCAATCATCGCCATGGCACGGGGGGCCCGAGCCTCAGCCGCGCCCGAGCCTGGGCCCAAGCCAGGGCCCGAGCCCGAGCCAGAACCCGAACCCGAGCCCCAGCTCGAGCCCGACCCCTAGTCCGAGCCCGTGTTCGAGCCTCAGCCCCAACCCGGGCCCGAGCCCGAGGAAGTGTTTTACCGCAGGGTGATCGCAGTTGATTGCTGTGCTACAGAAGTGATGGAACTGCGGCAAAGCAGTGGGGGGCATGCCGTGAGCTGCGAGAAACATGTGGTAAGCATGCGATGCGATCCCCGCCCTAGTGTCTTCGCGCCAGGCCAGGATTTCCCGCGTTTGGACATCGCGAGGTTGAGCGTCGCGAGTGGGGGGGCTTTCGCGCGCAGCGGGGTCGACGCGGCGCGCGTTCGACGTGTGGCCGGCGCTATGTCTGGCCGCGACGTGTTCTGCACAGCGCGCATCTTGTTTCGTAGGGCCCGTGCCAGACCATGCCGGGCCGTCCCCGGGGAGTGGATTTCGCAGAGATGTCCACTTCGCCCATGGCAGATTCGGCATGGCGTCGGTCTGGCCGCGGCCCGTCGCCGCTGCCGTACCCCGCGCGGCGAGCGCGGCGAGATCGCGTGATTCCAGCGCCTCCCCCTTCGCGATATTCGCACGGCTGATTTCGCTGTGCGCTCTGCTTTGCATTCGTGCAGCCCGCCGCGCGCGAAGCGCGCCACGCAGCTTACATTGCTCGCACCTCCGTGCGCGAAGAGCGCTAAACGGTATATCACAGTCGCGTGCGTGCTGAACTGTATACCATCTTTACATCCTCGCGCGCGAAGCGCGCTGAACTGTTAACAGTAGTTGCACCTCAGCGCGCGGAGCGCGCCAAACTGATCAAAGCATCCACCCCTCCGCGCGCTAAGCGATTTACAGGCTTCACGCATCCGCGGGCGATACGCGCGCTAAAGTGTTTGCACTATTTAGACCTCCGCGCGCGAAGCGCGTTAACTAAATGGCTTACAGTGTTTGTACGTCCGCGCGCGAAGCGCAAAACTGTTTACGACGACTGCACCTCCGCGTGCGAAGAGCCCGGTCCTCGCCGTGGCAGGGAGGGGGGGGGGGAACCCACGAGTTTCGGGGGCATCAGGCGGCTTCCCCGAAACTCCCAGAACCCCCAAGATATCTCTCAGATAACCCGGCAACCTACGCAAAGGGGTAAACATGACGTCGACATCTGGACATGATTGACTGCCCTTACCTCCTCGTGTTTTCTGAGTTCGATGGCAAAACTTGGGTGGGGCAGTGTTCCCGTGAGAATTGCCCTGCGACTGTCGGCCCCGCGTGAACTTCACGCGACAGCCTCTGCAAAGTACTGTGACTAAACATCTGTCCAATTCGCGCGAACACGCAAGCACATGGCAGAGACAACTCAGCTAAACTACCACGACACTGCACATCCCAAGCCCTCGCGAGCACAGGGGCATCTGGCAACAATGATACAAGATGGGCCGGCAGAGTGCGCGAAGCGATTGAAGGAGAGGAGCCGCGATGCTTTCAGAAGCGCATGGGACCTGTGAAAGGGGAACTGGGACACACAAGTAAATATACACAAATAACCCGATTCCCCATATTTTCCAATATTTTCTTGGTTCCTGTCTTCTCCCCCACTTCCCACATTTTCCCATATTTTCTGGGGAATCGACGATTCATTGTGTCTGTGTATTCTTTCCCTCCTGAGCCTGGGTAACTCGGCTCCTCTGGCCTTGCGTGGAGGAGGCTGCGGGGTGGAGGGGAAGGGCTGGCGAGAGATGGAGAGGGAAGCGACAGAGGGAGGGAAGTACTCAGGGGGCCCAAGGACACAGAAATAAGCACACACACAAATAAAAGGAGCCCCCACATATTCCAACATGTTCTAAGTTTTCGCCTTCCCGCCCAATTCCCGGATTTTCCCAAATCTTCTTGGGGATCGACGATTAATTGTGCCTGTGTGTTGTTCTCCCCTCCTGGAGTATGGGCGAGGTGGGTGGGTTAGGATGAGAGAGAGAGAGAGAGAGAGAGAGAGAAAAAAAGAAAAAGAGAAAGAGAGAGAGAGAAAAACAAAAGAGAGAGAGAAAGAGAGAGAGAGAGGGGAAGGGAACGACCATCCTTTGGATGACGACGAAATTGAAACTCCAGGTTTTTCGCTCCGCATCTTGCAGGGAGCTTCTCGCACAATGAGCGTCCGCGGTGCGCGTCGCATCTTTGGCTCAGGCATGAACTGCAATCATGTAAGCCCATGGCTGGGAAAATGAAAGATACATAATGAATTTACCAGCCGGTAACATGCACCAGCAGCCAAAATGCACCAGCAGGCAAAATGCACGTGGGAGGGAGAAACAGTGATGGAGGGGAGGAAGGGAGGAAGGGAAACGGATTCAGGAGGTACGAAGGAAGAGGACGAAGTGGGGGGGAGGAGGGAAGGGGATGGATGGAACGATGCGGAGGGGTTTCTGAGACATGATGAGGAGATATGGTTGCGGGAGGAGGGGGGGAAGGGATGAGGGCGCGGATGAGGTGGACTAGATGAGGAGGGCACAGGGGATGAGGGAGGGATAGGAGAAAAGACAAGGCTGGAAAAGGGGGGGCGGGGGGCAGTAATTATGAGGCAGGACGAAGAGGAGTTGGGAGGGACGAGGGAGGATGCGGCGAGAAGTAGGAAGGTGCGAAGATCAGGAATAATGGTTGGAGGAGGAAGCGAGATGGAGGGAGGGAGGAAGACTACGAGAGGGAGGGAGATGGATGGATGTTGGGAGGTGGAACGAGGGATGCCAATGGAGGTGAGGAGGGAGGAAGAAGAGCAGGAGGGGTAACGAATGGGAGACGAAAAATAAATAATGTATACCGAGCTTGCAACGGAACACGAATGAGACGAACATCGATGAAGTCTGTTATAGGTAAGTTCGGAGAGGGAACGAGAAGGGACATCCGCCGACCACCCGCGTGCTGCGGGGTTCACAGGGTGCGACACATTTGGCTGCTCCCCCCCGCGCTCTTCCCCCCACCCCTGTGGCCTGAAATCCTGCTAGAGACATTCGGCTGTCCCCCTCCTCCTTTCCCCCTCCCCTGAGGTCCAACATCCTGCTAGACGGGGTGGTGGAGCTGGAGGGTATGAACTCACCAACGCCACTCTGGGGCCCTCGGCGCCTCGAAGTACACGCCCCGCGGCAGCCCACATGCCCCACATGCCTTCTGATATGGCTCCATAAGAGGGGCTCCAGAGGGGCTCCACCTGAGAGGCCTCAAGAATACCCACGGTAGCCTCAAGATGGCACAATACATCACAAGAGTGCCTTAAGCGGACTCCCGACGAGGGTCTACAGAGCCAGAGACATCATGGATGTTCGGTCGCTTTGGGATAGGTCTGGCGTCTGGGAATCCACAACTGGCCGAGAGACCACCGAGAAAGAGGGCGCATAGACGGCCCAATGGGGCCCTAAGACTACCCAAGAGGCCTCCAAGACACCCAACACGACCCTCGAGTGAGCCTTACGAGGGCGAACTCGCAGGGACCCTAGGAGCCCTTCCCCACCAGATGGCCACCGAGACCCCCAACATGCTTCCAATAGGCCCCCAAGAAGTCCCCAGGGGGGCCCGAAAGCCTCCAGGAGCCCTGACAATTCAGCAAGCCGCCCCCCCTAGGCCTTGAAGAGGCCCTCAAGAAACCCCGCAATAGACGCTGGGGAAGCGAAGGCCGGATCAACAACACCTGAAGGCGACGAACAACGCATACGAAGTCGGAAACAGCACGTGTCCTCTTCTGGGGGTCGGCAGAACGTCGTGCACCTCATGAGTAAAAGGGCTGGATGCGGGCAGGGCTGGAACGCATAGAGGTCATAAGGTCGGCAAGACACACGTCCTCGTCCTTGTCCACCCTCTCCTCTTCTGCCTGTCTCTCTCTTCCACTTCATCCTCCCTCCGCCTCGTTCCTGCCTCGTCGTCGTCGTCGTCGCCGTCCTCCTCCTCCTCCTCTTCCTCCTCCTCCTCCTTCTTCTCTCCCTCCCACCTCCCTCCTCACTCTCCCACCTCTTCCCCCGCCCGCCTCCAGCACCCTCCTTGTCCTCCGCCCCTTCTCGTCACTCGTCTCACCTCGACCTGCATCCGCAACGGGGTCCGCTCCACTACACTTCGCTCCCCCTCCTCCCTACCTGCACCCCCTTCCCGACGGGGAGGGCAAGCAGATGAGGACAGGGAAGATGCTGAGGAGGAGGACGTGGACGCGGGACAAACAACAGAAGGAAGGAACGGCAACCGCGACACGTCCGGCACTCCTTGTTCTCGAGGGCCTCGGGTATGGTGTCTGCGATCATCTGGCGGAGCGTGCGCACCTGCCCCTTGTACGGCGCGACCACGCCTCGGCGGTGGCAGGTGGTGCTCATGGCTGTGGTGGCCTTTTTGTGCTGTGGCTGGTGGTGATGCCTGGTGACTACGGTGGTGGGGCGGATGCGGAGGAGGGGATGGGGAGGCGAAGAGGGGATGCGATGGAGGAGCGGGGGGACGAGGACGATGCTGCAGTGGGCGCGCTGGCCTGGGCAGGGGAAGTGGCAATCCGTGCGCCACCCGATGCCAGCCATCGTGCGAGGCGGAGCGGGCATCTCATCCGCCTCTATGCTGCGACCAGGGGGGGGGTGAGGACGGAGCAGGGAGGATGGCGAGCAAGGGCAAGGATGAGGAGGACGAAGACGGGGAGCATGGGAAGGATAGGGAGGAGGAGCAAGGGCAGTCAGAGGAGGATGTGGAACAGGGGAATGGGGATGAAGAGGCGACGGAGCAAGACGAGGTGGACGACGATGGGGAGGAGAAGGGGGGGCGTATGTTGAGTTGCAGCAGGAGGAAACATGGACGGGATGAGGAGGACGAGGAATAACCATACTAGGAGGAGGCAGGGGGAACGGAGATGCAAGACAAAGGGAGACAATTGCAAAGCCGAGAGGGGGTGTTAGACTAGACAGCGTGGTCCCACAATCAATGAAATCTTGCGCTCTGGATGTGTAGGCCATGCGGTGCAACCTATGCGGTGCACTGGATTTTGAAAATCTTGGGGTCGTCAACTCCACTGCTAGTGCAAACATCCCACCCGCACACCAACCCGACAACGACGATAACGATTACGCTGATGATACTTACTGATGGCGGCGGTAAGGACGATGTCGGCGGCGACGGCGATTGTCATGGTCATGAGTACGATGGTGGTGATAGCGACGAGGCAACGATGCAACTGGCGATGATAATAGCGCTAGTGTCGGTGATGATGATGGCAGCGAGCCCGCGCGCGCAGCTTTGACGAGGGCGGCGACGACAATAATAGCGGCGGTGGCGATCACGACCATGGTGGTGATGATGATGATGATGATGATGATGGTGGTGATGATGATTATGATGATGGTGACGATGACGATGATGATGCTGACGACGATGATAACGATCGTGCCGATGAGGAAAATGAAACAATCCTCGCCCATCGAAGTCAAAACATCGTGACCTATTTTTCTATTGAGATCCATACGGTGTTCGAATAGGTTTGAAACCCTCTGTGCTGCAAATGTTGAAAGGCCGATGGTTGTCCAAGAATTCCGACGTGCGCGCGGCGGTCGCGCGTGTGTGCCCCGCATGGTTCTATTAGATAGAACTGCTGGGCGCGCTATGGTGGGCGAGCGTTTTCGACATGCGCGCGCGAAAGGGCCCCCATGGTTTCGAGTGGCAGACCGGCTGGACACCTAGTTATGGTTTTTCTTACGGCTCCACGGAATGCGCGCGCAGATGTCTGGCAACTTTTTGTTCAAGAGCCAAATGATTTCGACAGTGGGGTAGCGATGTCTTGATGCCTCGTATCGCATCGTTGCGAAGGGTTCTTGAAACAAGCACTTCTTAGATAAACGCATGTGCACCAAACTATAATACGATTTGCGGAGGAGGAGGAGGAGGCGGAGGAGGAGGAGGAGGAGGAGATGGGGGAGGACGGGAAGGAGGATGCGGGGCTCCACAGGGTCACTGCAGCAAACTAAAGCAGGAGGAAAAGTAAACTAGAGTGCCTGGGGGTAGACGGTGCACTAGGCGCTGGGGGCGACGCCGCTTAGGGGGACCCCCGTGCGCGGGTGCCGTCCAGCCCTAAGGTTTCTGAGGGCTGCAGCACGCATTCGGCTCGTCTCCCAGGTGACTGGCCCTCTGCATGGGGCCATCAGCACTGGGGACTGGCGGCTGGATGCAGATCCGCCGCAGTTGGGGCAGAATACGAAAGGCCCCTCAGACGCCATATGGTGGCCTCTAATGAGCTCATACCGAATCTTCTCTAGACGTCCGGCCGGAAGGAAATTCGAAGAGGCCACGACAACCGCTGAAAGGTCATCTCAGGGGGTGAGCCGCTACTGGGCACCACCGAGGGGCTCGCCGCTACCCTATGGGGGGGCTCCCCGTTACTAAGTCCAGTAACAAGCCCACTGGGAGCCCTCCCACAATTCTCGGGCCCTTTGGCTCCGTTGGGAGGTGCATGCCCTTGCCCACTAGACACAGTGGGCCCCTCAGGGGCTTGCTCGGGTCCCTCGGACCCCGACGGACCAGCACAGGCGGTCGGCTGACCTGTGCCGCTCCTTCCAAGAAGCCGAAGGCCGACCCCAAGAACGTCGTCGGCTCCCTCTCCGACCGTGCCGACAGGAATCCAGGGTCTCGCGGCGGGATGGCCATCCTCCCCCACGCGGGCCGAGACACCTTTGGGGGCCACCACGGCCCCCCGCCTCGGGGAACGGGATCGCCCCTCGCGCTCCGCAGGGCGCACCGGAATCCAGGTTCTGGCGGCCACGGGCCCAGGATGACCAATCACCGGGCCGAGGACGCGATCGGCCGCCCTCATGGCGATCGCGATCGCATCCTCTCGGGCGCTGGGCAGCGGGGCCGCAGCAGCAGCAACCGAAGCGGAGGAGGAGGAGGAGGCGGCGAGGCGTGCATGGACGCGCGCCATCATTCCCTGCAGGGCCGACGGCTCGCAGCTCGAGCTCTCCAGCCGCCGCCTCGCCGCCTGTGGTGGCGGTCGCGAGGCACTCCGTGCACCGCCAGCCTGCAGGGCCGCGCTGGAGCTGGTGGCGGTGGCCCAGCACGGCGGGGGCCACGGGCGCCGCCGGGCGGTGCACTCGCTGCACCAGCGCGCGGGCGTCCTCGGCGAGGGCGCCAAGGGCCGCCTGGTGCCACGCCAACACCGCGGCCTCCTCGCGCGCGTCCGCGAGGCGCACCCTGAACAGGTCCGCCAAGGCGTCGGGCAGCTTGTGCTCCAGCGCCCCCACCTTGGCAAACAAGTCGGCCCACGCATTGCCGAGGTAGTCCATGGGGTCCAGGTCGGCGCACTGGACGAACTCCTCGAACTCGAGGTGCGCGGGGCACCACGTCGCAGCAGGCCTGGGCAGGCCGCCCTCGTCCGCCGCAGCATCGAAGATCTGGAGGAGGGGAAGGAACGCGATGGCAATATGAGGGAGATGTGCATGGGGAGCACGAGGACAGTGTAGAGGGGGAGGGTGCACTGCATGAATTCTTGATCCCCCCCGGGCTCAAAACTAGGGCACCGGACAAAGTAACGCATCGAAACCACAACGGTGCACGCGCCATCTCAGCCAATCTGCGCAGACCTGGCGTGCACAATCCCTTCTGAACGCTGAGCGTGTCTGTGCGCAGTTCACTTTCGGGCGCCCTGCCAGGAGAAGAGGGGGGGCCGGTCTGGACCTGCCTCCTGTACCTGCTGTGCTGCGGCTCCTGCCCCCCTGGCGCTGGAGTCGCCTATGTCTCCGTAGCCGAGCTCCCCTGTGGCCTGCACCTCGGATATGAGCTTCACGACCATTTTGGACTCTCCCGGGTTGTCCTTGGACTCGCCGTTGAGGCCCTCCTAGGGGAAGCAGGAAGCAGATGGCGTTCGTGTCACGTTATTCGGTGGTTCAAGGATCGGGTCCTGAGAGATGGGGTGGAAGGGGATCCAAGGATGGGTTCACGTTATTTCAAGCACCTCGTCCTCAGGACCCCATCCCTCAGGACACCATCTTTGAAGTATCGAGTTATGGTGTGCTCTAAAACTCATGCCTTCTGACTGTCAGTGGCCCCATACTGGCCACGAGAAGGCTCCTCCTTGTCGTCCTCCTCCTCCTCCTCCTCCTCCTCCTCCTCCTCCTCCTCCTCCTCCTCCTCCTCCTCCCTCTGCGTACCCATTTGGGCTCAAGCTTCGCTTGCTGGCCCCCCCGCTCCATCCCGGCGGCGCGCGCCGCCCCCCCCCCCTCTTCCCGCGAGGGGGGTGCGGCCCGTCGCCTCTCGCCGTCGCCGCGGCTGGCAGCCGCGGCGTGAGCCCGCCGCGGCTGCCAGCTGCGGCCTCTCGAAGAGACGTCCGTGGCGGCGCGAGCGCGCGTGCGGCAGCGGCCCCGAGGCCCCCCTCGGCCGCGCGGAGCGTCGGCGACCACGCGGAGGCGCAGGCGGGCGAGGAGGAGAAGCTGCGCGCCGGCGTGGCGGCCGACGGCGCGCTCGGCGGGGGCCTGGGCGCGGCGGCCGCCGCCGGCCCTGGGGGCTCGCCCGCGGGCGGGCTCGCGGAACGCGGGCGCCCCGGGGCGAAGACGCCGTCGCGCCTGGCCGCGAAGACCCTCCCGAGGACGCCTGGGGGTCTGACGAGCTCAGGCAGGATAGAGGAAAAAGAACTATGCACATGCACCGATTCTGGCCAGGCCCATCCTGAGCCCAGGATCGGTGCATACGTCCTCCTACCTTGGCCAGGAAGGCATATGCACCGATCCTGGGTCAAAAATGGGCCTTGCCAGGATCGGTGCATGTGCATAGTTCTCGTCGCCCGACAGGAGGGGAGGGGGCACGGCGTGCCAGCGCGCGGGCGGCGCGGGCGGCAGGCCGCGAGGCGGAGAGCCGCCGCTCTCCCGGGGCGAGGCTGCGAGCCTGCCGGCGGCGGCGCCGGGCGGCACCGTGAGCACCTGGCGCGGGAGCGGGCGCGGGCCGACGCGGCGGCTGCTGCAGCGGCGGGCGCGGGGTGAGCGGGCGTGGCTCGCCGACTGCTGGAGAGGAGCATCCGAGCATTCCTCTCCTCTCTTCCATCCTCCCGCCAGCAAGGGCAGCGGCGAAACACGGAGGCAAGGGTGGGCCTCCCTTGACACCATCAGGAACGAGCGAAGGACAGGCGAACCACCAAACCTCATGTCACTACCCTGTTCACTACCGGGCAGGAGAGCCGAAAGCCATCACCAACGTCAATGTCGAGGTGGTCGTCGTCCTCTTCCTTATCTCCTCCTGCTCCTCTTCTTCCTCCTTGTCCTCGTCGTTGTCGCCGTGGTCCTCCTCTTCCTCCTCCTGCTTCTCTACCTCTTTCTGTTATTCCTCGAACTCCGTCTCCTCCCCCCTCTTCCTCTCCTCTTCCTCCTCCTTCTCCTCCTCCTCATCATCACCACCACCACCATCACCACCACCACCACCACCATCAGCATCAGCATCAGCATCAGCATCAGCATCAGCATCAGCATCAGCATCAGCATCAGCATCATCATCATCATCATCATCATCATCATCATCATCATCATCATCATCAGCATCATCATCATCTGCATCAGCATCAGCATGATCATCATCACCATCATCATCAACATCATCATCATAATCATTAGCATCGCCATCGTCTCATCATCATCACCAGCATCACCACCATCATGACCATCACCTCCATCATTATCATCGTCATCATTAACACCATCATCAACATGATCATCATCATCACCATCATCATCATCATCATCATCATCATCATCATCGTCATCATCATCAGCATCACCAGCAACATCACCATCGCCATTACACATCACCATCACCATCATCATTAGCAGCATCATCAATATCATCATCATTACCATCACCATCATCATCATCATCATCACCATCATCATCATCCTCATTCTCAGCATCGTCATCATCATCACCACCACCATCATCATCACCATCACCATCACCGTCACCATCACCATCACCATCATCATCATCATCATCATCATCATCATAATCATCAACAACATCATCATCATCATCATCATCATTATCATCATCGTCACCATCGTCGCCGTCGTCCTCCTCGCCCTCATCCTCTAAGGCTCCGGTTCCCCGCACTCGAAGAAGGCGGCCGGGCACTCTGGGTTGGGCCAAGGCACGCCCTTGGGCACGGGCCGCTGGGAGCCCACAATGCCGTTCTTGAGTTTGCCCTGATATCCGTACGCCCCGAACTGGGGGCGATCCGCGGCCGACGGAGGAGAAGGGCGGGTAGAGGAGATGAGGGAGCTCGGGGAATTGGGAGGGGTGGAGGGGTGAGGAGGGCATGAATAGGCGGAGGAGGAGGAGGAGGAGGAGGAGGAGGAAAAAGACAAAGAGGAGGAGAAGGAGGAGGAGGAGGAGGACAAAAAGGAGGAGGAGGAGGAGAAGGAGGAGGAGAAGGAGGAGGAGGGAGGGGCCAGGAGGGGGAGGAAGGATATGATGATGCTTCTGACGATTGATAGAGCTGAAGCGAGAGGAAAGGGACACGGATGACGGGACGGAATGACGACAAGGGGTAGGGTAGTAGGAACAAGGAGGGCTAGCAGGAGGGAGGAGACCGAAGACGAGGAGGACGGAAATGAGAAGAGACATGAGGAGGATCTGTTTGGGCTTGAGGGAGGAGCAGCTGAAAACAACCGCGAGGCCCCACTGGTGCTGCCAATACTATGTTGCTGCTTGCTGTAGGCGTTGGCCTGGGCGGACAAATTCTGCCTCCCCGCACGACGACGGCGACTAACACGTGAAACCACCCATGACAAGTATTGCCCAGGCGATCGGCCAGGGAGGAGGGGGAAGGGGGCCCCAGAGGAGGAGGAGGAGGATGAGGAGGAGGAGGAGAAGGAGACGGAGGAGGAGGAGGAGGAGCAGGAGAAGAGATACACTCGAGGGCGAAGGATATGAACGAATCCTTAAACATCTCCACCCCTGGCTGGCCAAACTGTTGCGCGCCAGACCCGTACTAAACGGCCTCAGCGGCCAGGCAATACATTCACCACGGCAGGGAAAAGGAGGGAGGGCAAGACGAGGAGAAGTAACAACAAGAGGAGGAGCGGCAGAACTTAATGATGCGAAGATGGCCCGATTCGTATCATAGCGAAGCGCGTGTGCCCAGAATCTGCCAAGAAAGAACAAGCACGGTCGTCAACCTAATGTAAGTATTGTGAACGTAACCAGGACCTCAGGGACGGAAAGTCGGGCGGTTGTTCGCGGAGGATCAAGATCATTCCTCTCGGCTCCCCCCGCTGCGACAACAAGAACTGTTGAGCGTCTGATAGCTGCTTTCCGGCCTGGGGTCTTCTTGGTAATGCTCGTGCTGCTGCTGCTGCTGCTGCTGCTCCTTCTCCTCCTTCATCTCATTCCCCCTCCTCATTACTTTATTCAAAACTGATAGTAAGGATGCGCGATAAGGATGCAAGGGCCTTGGAAGGCCATGCCGACACTTTTCGAGCGGGAAGCGGCCAGCGACAGCGGCCAAGGATGGGCCGAAGGGGACGGATGCACGGGGAAGGATCTTTACTATCAGTGTCGACGGTAGTACTGCTGCTCATCATCCTCGCCCCTGCTCCTGCTCGATTCCCTGCTGCCCGTCAAGCGTCGCAGAGGGCAAATATGCACGCAAGGCTGACGTGCCTTGGAAGCCGTACAGTCATCAAACGACTCTCTGATCATTCAACTGGCGAACGAATGAGGGGAAAGATGAGACATCAATGTCTGCTGAACCCGTCCGCTGCCCTTCTTTCCTCATGCTCAACCTGGCGTTATTTGCCTCGCCCACCCGGGGTCATGAAGTGGTCGACTCCATCAAACAAAGGGATCTGCGCCAGCATGAACTGATATGCAATTGGCGCTGAATGCCATCAGCGCTGGGTGAGCTCGGTACTGCGTGTCCTACCCTGCCATGTTCCCTGATTGTGTGAATCTGGGACAGAGGAACGCAACATATGGGCAGAGGAGGAAAAGGATGGAGCAGGGCGACGAGGAGAGTCGGATGCAAACGAAACCCAGTGGGTGATGGGGAGCAGGCGGAGGAGGCAAGACGGACGAGGACACAAGGTGCAGACATAGCGAAACTGTAAGTTAGAAGAAGTCGTACTGAGGTCTGCTCTCGTACCATACATACATTCGAGGTGATGCTTCCAGTCCTGAAGCGGCTTGACCTGCCGCCATCGTCAATCTGCACTTAGCTGAGTCCTCCCACCCTGCTGTTGCGCGCCTAGCTCACCTTTCTCCCTCTTTCTCACTCCTGGCCTTCTCCTCCTCTCCTCCTCCTCTGTCTCTTCCTCCTCCTCCTCCTCCTCCTCCCCCTCCTCCCTACTCCTCCTTCCCCCCTTGGGGGGATGGGGCGCGGATGGGGCGGAGGAGCAAAAGGGAAACAACAACGGAGGAGGCAAGTGGATGAAGAGCCCCCCCCCCAGCAAATGAAGCAGTACTGACTTTTGATCACACGATGCCAATCGCCTGGGCCAGGCCGAACCCGAGCCAATCGCTGCCTCGTCCGCCCCCCCGGTCGCCGCAGCGCAGATCCGCTTCCGAGGCCAGGGCAGCGCTTCCACGCCGTCTGCGGCAATGCGGTCGCCAAGCCGCCTGGAGCCTCCGAAGATCAGGAGCCCTCTGGGGAGTGAGAGGGCGCTCGCACCGCTCGACGAGCGGAGGGCCAGCTCGCTGCTCAACAGCTGCTCCACGCCGCACAAGGGGGATGGTAAGAGGCCCTGGGCACAGCATCGGAGCCAAGTCTGAACCAACCTTACGCCTGCGATTTGATCCTCGGGCGTGACAGTGGGTTGCGATCAGCTGCTGGTTTTGAAATGTTGGCGAAGGCGGTCAAGGCGAACTATCCATCGTGAACGGGAACGCACAAGGCTGCA